AAAAGCTAGTCTTTGCATTTCTAAATCTTTATTGATAAGAATCTTAAAACGCGATAATCAGCTACATTTGTTCAGGAGACTTGAACAATGCAGCAAGAAACAGATTAACTGCGATGGCTCAATCGAATTCCTCACACTCTGTCAGAACTTCGACCTAACTCCAACTTTCGCTAAGGTCAACAAAGCAAGGCGTTCTAAATGGAAGCACTCTTCCGAAACCTTTACAAGGAATGTCATCTCTGAGGAACTAAATGGAAAAATCTCCACTAAGACCTTTTTACATAAGTTCGGTAATCGGGCTGAGACAACTTGAGAATGATGAACTGATTAACGGCCTGTCAAACGCCTCTAAAGGAAACCCACTCCGCTGCAATTAATGCAGGTAGTCATCTTAATGTCAATTTTCTAAGCGACAGACTCGAACTGGACAGCAAATGTCACCATAAGGAAAAATATTTCGAGACCCTCAGCGGAAAATGCGATTCTACAATAATCTAACTTAAAGGTTAGCTTCTACTCGCGCAGTTAAAACTCTCTTCAGATCATTGCTTTGTTCGTAAAATTTGAGTTGCAACTCTCCGCTTTTGAAATCTATATTTTGCTCTGCATATACTTAGCGCACTTTAGAATAAGGAGAAACAAGCTACATAGTTACGTTCATTTTTCTTAAGAGAAAATCATAAGATTTCTATATAACAACTTGGGTTTGTGTTTGAAATATCAAATGTTCTCGTCTCGGAATACTTGCTGAATGAAGCTTCGCAAGGTACGAACATAAAAGTTGCTTATCTGGGTATAATATCCCGCGTGATATTTCATACGTGGAACTGCCCACGACCAGTGAAGGTAACTGCTTATACAACTCTGGTTCGCCCAAAATTGGAGTATGGTTGTGAGGCCTTGGATTCCTATTTTAAAAAGGACATTTCATCTCTCGAACGTGTGCAACGGAAAGCAGCAGGGTTTTGTTTAAACAACTATCAACCTACAGCCAGTGTAACCGAGATGTTAAGCGACCTAGGATGGTCCAGCCTCGAAACAAGGAGAACAATAGCCAGATTAAATCTAATGTATAAAATATGCCATGGCAACGTCGACATTGACAAAAATAGTTATTTGTGCCCCTCTAAAATTTACGGAGCCAGAACTCGTTCTGGTCATAATTACAATTTTTTTAATATAAACTGCCACAAAGAATGTATATTTTTATTCCTTTTTTCCACACAACCTCAGAATATGGAACAAACTTCCGAAAGATATTGTTCAAAGCATCTCTTTAGAGACTTTTAGAACTCAAGATTTCCAAGTATTTTAACGAGAAACTTTAAACTGGTAGATATTATTTCTATTGTTGTTATTTACACTTTTTGTATTTTTAACGTTGGTGTGATGTCTAACGACTTTACCGACGTATTTTAATGTAGATGTTGATCAGTGTAGATACGTTCTGTCCAAATGTATAAAAGCACATCAAATTTCAAAAGAACCGACATTCAAATGAGTGGACGATGACTTCTTAAACGCATGTGATATTTCTGGTAGGTGGACCGCAACACAAGTTTTAAAATGTCTACAGGAACCTTTTTGTGCAGATAAAAAAAAGTTAATGATAATAAACTATATCCGATGTTAGACATTTCTCCTGTTCTGTTCAGACTACTAAAATAACTTCAAGTGAAAACCACATGTATTTTTATATACCATAATAGTAACACAACAAAATCTCCTCAGTAGGGTGGTCTCGTCATAAGTCCAGTCTCACTGGGGGGCGTGAGATCCTCCCACTGCGGGTCCGGGCCCGAACATCCTCCCCACCTCTCCAATACTTTTGGATACTTGACACTGGTTTCCGTGTAACTTGTTTCTTCTTCGCCCTTTCCTTGACCTTTCGAGCAACAGACTCCCCACCGTAAGCACCGCTGTCACAAAATTCA